TGGTCTTTACAATTTTATTGTAGAAATGGAGCCCAAAAATAACAAAGTTCAAGGCCCATAAGAGAGGACTCAATTCAAGTGTACTTAACCCAGCCCAATCAAAATAAAATAGATTGGAAAGATTAATGAAGGGAGCAAAATCTGTGGAAGACGTCTCTTGCTATGAAGAAATCCTGAATTGGAAACACTAGGGTTGGCAACTATTCGGTTATGGGTCGGTTCGGCCAAAACCATAACCGCATCACCAATTTTTTGACCATACCATAACCACGTAAATCGGTTCAGTTCGGTTATCATCTCGGTTCAGCACGGTTCGGTTCGGTTAATAACCACGAAAATAAATTATTTTCTATAGGTTCATCCATCAAATTGATATAAAACAATTTATGAAAAAAGTCAATGAAAACAAAAACACAATATTTTAAACGAAAATGCAAACATTATGAAACAATATTTCAAATGAAAAAGCAAACATTATCCCAATTTTCAATTGTAAAATACAAATTTAACAAACAATATTATAAATATAACAATACTAAACTTTTCCTTCATTCTTAATTATTGTGCATCGAAATTACTTGATTCATTCTTCCCCACAAATCTTACTAGCATAGATCAACACTCAAAGTTGATTCTTATATAGTAAATAAGAAATGTAAGTAGAGAATACAACGATACTACCTATTCTAGAATGGTTTTAACTAAGATTTAAATAAAAAAAATCTACCTCTTTGTAAGCTTTCTTCTCGCTAAACGTTGCACAAGCTCTAGAGTATGATGAAGAAGTAGAATTTTCTACACACAATAGAAAAAAATTAACAATAAAAGGAGCCGTGCGTGAGTTTGTGGTTTGTGGAGAGTAAGATTTGCATTTATATAATGTCATACTGATACTATTATTATGGGCTAATGATAAGTGGGTTGGCCGACTGAGTCATATAGATGTAATTGGGGAGAGGGGGATTTTGTTTTGGGCTAGATAGAAAAGTAGTGTAAAACCCAATAATCAATTCAATTTTTTTTTGTTTTTTTTTTAGCGGGTAATCGGTTCGATTTCAGTTCGACGGCGTAAATACCATACCCGCACCGCCAAGAACCGGTTCATTAAAATAAAAACCATATCCGCCCCATTGCACCATCGGTTCGGTTTTTTTCGCCCCATTCGGTTCAGTTAACCGCGGTTTTCGATTTTGACGGTTCAAATTGCCATCCCTAGAAAACACATCTGTACTGCCCTTCGTATTTCACCATATCTCCCTCATCCGATGTTGTATTGAGCTAATTCAAGAGGCCTTGGAAAGCTAATTTAACATGCTACAATTTCTCCTGAAATAGAGATTTTGAAATTCTCACGTTTTCTAAGTGAAAAAGGCCCACAATCCAAGGCTAAAAATATGTCGAATTGAAGTGGTGAATTCGGGATTGATTCTTTCTTTTCCTGGTGAAGATGGCTTGAAAGGAGTGGAAGAGGAAAAAAAAGCAGAGGACGACCAAGAAGGCTGGGACCAAGGTGGATCGATTCTTTTTCTTCCTTTTTGGCTATCAAAAGAGGGAAGCCACTCCAAGGAAACGGGAGACCAGATTCACTGAGTTTTTCCTTCTTTCCATCTCTTTCAATTTCTTGATGTTAACTCTTTATTTAAACTTTTCTTCAATTTTAGCATGAATTAATTTATATCTTCTAGAATTTGAGATGTAGCCTAACTACGATTATGTGAATCTTCCTTTACTTGAATTAATTGGTATTTGTTCCAATTGTTGAGTATTTCATTCTGAACTTAATGCTTGTGAATTGACTGATCACCATTCACTTGAGTTGGGATTCAATTTGAGACAGAGAAGTAATAATTGTTTCAGCTAATGTTTGAGATACCACAGGAATTTTGTAGGATAGATATATCTATGGACTTGTGTAATCTTTATGGGTTTATTTTTGTTTTTAATGAATCTTGACAGGCTTAGAATTTTCATAGAGATGTAGAAAATTTTCTTGTTGAGATATTTCGTTAATGTTTTAGAAAGATTAATGAATAAATTAGAAAGACTTGATTATCAACAATTAGGAACACTTACAATTAATTCAATTAGGATATTCACATATGAGTATTTATGGTGAATCGAAAACTCTAGAGTATTGTTTTCTTGATTTTAACTTGCTTGTTCAATTCATCTTAGTTTAAACTTTTTGGTTTAATAATTCATTTACATTCGAATTGTCAAATAGATCATCATTTAATAAATTTTGATAATTATTTGTAATTTTTCATTCCTCGTGGGATGATACTCTTACTCATTCACTTTATTACTTTTAGGACTCGTGCACTTGCAATTTCAACCAACAAGTTTTAGAAAACAATACTCTAGATTTTTCGATTCACCATAACTACTCATATGTGAATATTCTAATTGAATTAATTGTAAGTGTTCCTAATTGTTGATAATCAAGTCTTTCTAATTTACTTATTAATCTTTCTTAAGCATTAAAAAAATATCTCAACAAGAAAATTTTCTACATCTCTGTGAAAATTCTAAGCTTGTCAAGATTCATTAAGAACAAAAATAAACCCATAAAGATTACACAAGTCCATAGATATCTCTATCCTACAAAATTCATGTGATATCTCAAACGTTGGCTGAAACAATTATTACTTCTCTGTCTCAAATTGAATCCCAACTCAAATGAATGGTGATTAGTCAATTCACAAGCATTAAGTCCAAAATGAAATACTCAACAATTGGAACAAATATCAGTTAATTCAAGTAAAGGAAGATTCACATAATTTTAGTTAGGCTACATCTCAAACTCTAAAAGATAGAAATTAATTCATGCTAAAATTAAAGAAAAGTTTAAATAAAGAGTTAACATCAAGAAATTGAAAGAGATGGGAAGAAGGAAAAACTCAGTGAATCTGGTCTCATGTTTCCTTGAAGTGGCTTCCCTCTTTTGATAGCCAAAAAGGAAGAAAAAGAATCGATCCACCTTGGTCCCAGCCTTCTTGGTCGTCCTCTGCTTTTTTTCCCTCTTCAACTCCTTTCAAGCCATCTTCACCAAGAAAAGAAAGAATCAATCCCCAATTCGCCTCTTCAACTCGGCAGATTTTTAGCCTTGGATTGTGGGCCGTTTTTCACTTAGAAAACGTGAGAATTTCAAAATCTCTATTTCATGAGAAATTGTAGCACGTTAAATTAGCTTTCCAAGGCCTCTTGAATCAGCTCAATACGACATCAGATGAGGGAGATATGGTGAAAATACGAAGGGCAGTACAGATGTGTTTCCAATTCGGGATTTCTTCACAGCAAGAGACGTCTTCCACAGATTTTGCTCCCTTCGTTAATCTTTCCAATCTATTTTATTTTGATTGGGCTGGGTTAAGTCCACTTGAATTGAGTCCTCTCTTATGGGCCTTGAACTTTGTTATTTTTGGACTCCATTTCTACAATAAAATTGTAAACACCACAATTAGGATTGACCTTCATTCAACTATATAAAAATATCATTATTAATCCCAAATATACTTGTATATTAACAGATAATCATGAGCAATCAGCATTAAAAATGCAATCTTATTCACTCTATCACACCCCCCAACTAGCGTGTTGCTAGTTCCTAGCAATTCAAGCGAAGAAAGAGTATTGCTACCTGTCCCAAGTGAAAATCCTTTTATACGAATTAAGCAAAAATATTTAGGCTCATCAAACAAAGCATTTACCAGAGATCAACAATGCTATCAAAGTTTGTTTGTCAAAGCACACTCCTAGAACTCGTGTGTGTGTGTGTGTGTTAAGCTCTTCAACATCTTTCCATCGAAGCAAAACTCATACAATGTTGAGAACATCCCAGAAAAAAGTTATTTTTGCAAATATTAAGTGTAGTATTCGACCAAAAAAAAAAAAAAACTATTGCCAACAAAGGTAATGAAGGTTGAAAAAAATTGCCACTCAAATATATGGAAGGAATAATTGTCTGCGGGCAAATGAGTGAAATAGGAGCAAAAGAGTGAAATAACAAAATTGATCTCATGAGAGGATGCCAACTAATAGGAACTCAACCATTCTAACCACTAACCCACTTAGGATAAAAAAAAGTCAATAAAGGGTTGTAATATGACTGGGGTGAAATTGAAAGGAAGGATAAGAATATTGAAGAAAAATATTAATTCTCAAGTATATATTGAGGATCTTCATCAACTCGTAGACTTAAAGGTTGTCTGGTGCCCATTTTTCCACCAAGGGGGCTCCACATGTGAGACATTTGGTCAAAGTATGCAACTGCAATTGTGTCCAATGGTAAAAAAATAGATTTTTTTTTTTTTTTTGGGATTTTTGCAACAACACACCTTGCTCTAAAATATTTTTCATACCCTTTCTTCATTCATTTCTGATTTTTTTTTTCAACAGCATGTTCCACAATCTATACTACATACTTGATATTTGAAGGTAAAGGAGATGTTTAACTTAGGCTCAACCTCCAATGTGGAGTGGGTGAGGAAATAAATGGCTTAGAGATTTTAGTTCAAAGTGACTTATATTCAATGAGACATTGGTCGGCTTGAAAAGCTTAAACTACATCCTAAATTGACCTTCATCATTTCCTGAGTATAATCAAACCAACATACCACAAACCGTGTAATGGCATTCCCATTAGTTAACCAAATTTGGGGAATAATGAGATCATGTAACGAGACAATGCTGAAGGTAATATTAAGAATATGATAACATCTCTCAGAAAAATGAGAATGGCCCAATTGCTCACAAGTGTAAAAGGTTGCAACTTTAATTTGAGTGTTCTCTAATTGTATGAGTTCCACATCCATCAAACCACATGAGCTTAGTTTACGTGTATGAAAAGAAAAAATTTCTAAGGTATTTCAATATCTTACTCAGATAGCACTATTGACTCAAGCAAAAATACATTGTAATCAAGCCAAAATGCCAAAGATGAATTCATGTAAATTGGAATGCATTCATGATACCAAATCTAAATTCATGCAAATAGGAATTCAAAATTTCTGAGGTGTTTCAATATCATATTCAGATAGCACTATTGACTCAAGCAAAAATACATTGTAATCAAGCCAAAATACCAAAGCTGAATTCATGTAAATTGGAATGCATTCATGATACCAAATCTAAATTCATGCAAACAAGAATGCATATATTCATGCTCAACACCCCCCTCCCCAACTAAAACCTAACATTGTCCTCAATGTGGAACAAAGAAAGGGAAAAAAATGATAAGAAGAAACTTCCCTGTTCATTGGTGAAGATGGATCAAGTTTCATCTCTCTTGACATCCTCATCAATGCATTCAAGTACTGGAGCAAGAAGGTGGAGAACTGCGTCACTGCCACACCCAAAATAAATAAATAAATTGAAATCAGAAAACACACAAAGTAATTAACGAAAAGAAGAATATATAAAATTAAACAAATTGCAAGGGAATAAAAAAAAAAGCAAAACAGAGGTTTGAATGCTTGGGTTGCCTCCCAAGAAGCACTTAATTATAGTCAGCAGCTTGACTGTTGCTCTTCTTCTAGGCCGGATTAAGAAGAATGGTGGTCTTCTTGTTGTCAAATTCTCCACTTAAATAAAGCTTCAAACGTTGTCCATTCACTTTAAATGTCCCCTTCTCATCATGAGTGATTTCCACTGCTCCATGGGGAAAAACTTTAACAACTGTGAATGGGCCTGACCATCGAGATTTGAGCTTTCTTGGAAAAAGACGAAGCCTTGAATTGTAAAGTAAAACTTGTTGTCCAGGTAGAAACTCTTTCTTTGAGATGTGCTTATCATGCCAAGCCTTGGTCCATTCCTTGTAAATCCTTGCATTCTCATAAGCTTCATTACGAAACTCGTCCATCTTATTAATTTGCAAACAACGCTTTTCACCAGCTGCTTGAAGATCCATGTTTAGTTGCTTCATCGCCAAATAAGCTTTGTGCTCGAGCTCTACAGGAAGGTGGCATGTTTTTCCATAGACTAACCAATAAGGAGACATTCTCAAAGGTGTTTTGTATGCTGTCCGATAAGCCCATAGCGCATCATCTAACTTTTTGGCCCAATCTTTTCGAGAATTGTTAACTGTTTTCTCTAGAATTTGCTTTACCTCCCTATTTGATATCTCCGCTTGTCCATTTGTGTGAGGGTGATAAGCCAATGCTCTTAGATGTCTTACTCCATATTTTAATAATAGACCTTTAAACTGCTTGTTACAAAAGTGAGTCCCTTCATCGCTAATAATGGCCCTAGGAGTCCCAAATCTGGAAAAAATATTCTTCCGAAGAAAATTCTGCACCACTTTTCCATCATTAGTAGGAGTTACGATTTCCTCTACCCAATTAGATACATAATCCACTGCTAGAAGAATATATTTGTTGTTGTAGGATGAAGGAATGGGTCCCATGAAGTCAATACCCCAAACATCAAACAACTCCACCTCTAGAATATTCTACAAAGGCATTTCATTTATTTTAGATATGTTCCCGGAGCATTGGCATCTATCACAAGAGGCAATAAAAGTATGAGAATCCTTGAAAAATGTTGGCCAATAAAATTCGGATTGGAGAACTTTAGCTGCTGTCCGATGAGGTCCGAAATGCCCTCCACATTCTAGTGTATGGTAATGCATCAAAATATCTGTCATCTCCTCTTTCGGAGCACATCGCCTGATTATTTGGTCCACACAAAGCCTGTAGAGTATTGGTTCTTCCTAATAGTAATGCTTTACTTTCGACAGAAATTTCTTCTTTTGTTGATAGAAAAGTTGGAGAGAATGATTTTTTCTGCAAGAAAATTGACATAATCTGCATACCATGGTAAAGGATTGTTAGAAGAAATAGCTAAAAGTTGCTCATCCAGGAATTTATCATCTATGGGCAGTTGTTGGGACTCAAGTTGCTCCTATGACTCTAGCAGTGAGAGATGATCTGCCACTATATTTTCAGTTCCCTTCTTGTCTTTAATCTCAATATGAAATTTTTGTAGCAAGAGAACACAACGGATGAGTCTTGGCTTGGCTTCCTTCTTTATGATAAGGTATTTAATTGCGGAATGATCAGTGTAGACTATCACCTTATTCCCAATGAGATATGGTCGAAACTTGTCAAAAGCGAAGACTATAGCAAGAAGTTCCTTCTCAGTGGTGGCATAGTTGAGTTGGGCATCATTAAGGGTTCTACTAGCATAGTAAATGGTATGAAACCGTTTGTTCCTTCGCTGCCCCAATACCGCACCAATCACATAGTCACTTGCATTGCACATCAATTCAAACGGTAGATCTCAATCCGGAGCTATAACAATCAAAGCAGACACAAGCTTCTCTTTTAGTAGCAATAACGCCTTATCACATTCTTCATCAAACACAAAAGGTGTTTCTTTCACAAGCAAGCTACAAAGGGGTTTGGAGATCTTGGAAAAGTCTTTAATAAATCTTCTATAAAATTCGGCATATCCAAGAAAGCTCCGTACTCCTTTTATTATTGTTGGTGGTGGAAGCTTCTCGATTGTCTCAATTTTTGCTCTATCCACTTCAATTCCCTTTGAAGAGATCCGATGACCCAAGACAATTCCCTCTTTTACCATGAAGTGACACTTTTCCCAATTAAGTACAAGGTTAGTTTCTTCACATCTCTTCAAAACTAACGCCAAATTCCCAAGACAATCATCAAAAGACGATCCTAATACAGAAAGTTCATCCATGAAAATTTCAATAATCCGCTCTACCATATCTGAAAAGATTGACATCATACACCTTTGGAAGGTGGCTGGCACATTGCAAAGTCCAAATGGCATTCGACGGAAGGTGGAAGTGATATAAAGGCATATGAAGGTGGTCTTCTCTTGGTCCTCTGGTGCTATGGCTATTTGATTATACCCCGAATAGCCATCTAGGAAGCAATAGTACTCATGCCCGGCTAGCCTATCCAACATTTCATCAATGAATGGTAAGGGGAAGTGGTCCTTCCGAGTGGCTTTGTTCAATTTTCAATAATCCATGCAAATTCTCCATCCGGTAACTATTCTTGTAGGGATCAACTCATTGTTAGCATTCTTCACCACTGTCATTCCTCCCTTTTTTGGTACTACTTGCACAGGACTGATCTATGAGCTATCAGAAATTGGGTAAGTCACTCCAGCATCTAACCATTTTAAGACCTCTTTACGCACCACTTCCTTCATTGTCGGATTGAGTCTTCTTTGATGCTCCATCGTTGGCTTGCAATCTTCCTCCAACAAAATTCGGTGCATACAAATAGAAGGGCTAATTCCCTTGATATCTGCAAGTATCCATCCAATAGCTGCCTTATGTTCTCTAAGCACTCTTAACAACTTTTCTTCTTCTTCAATCGAAAGCTTGGATGAAATAATTATCGGAAGAGTAGATGATTCACCAAGAGACGCATATTGAAGATGTTCAGGTAAGGGCTTAAGCTCCAATGTGGGAGGTTTCTCAATAGATGGAAGGGGCCGTGATGTTCCATGTCCCAAATCTTCAAAATATTTTCACGGTTAGGACCAAAAGAATCCATCCACAGAGCATATTCTAACACTTCTGGATCCTCCACCATAGTCGGATTGGGATTAACCAAACAAACTTCCAACGACTCCTTTTGTTGGTTAAATACTTCAGTGACCAAGGAGTCGATTGCTCGGATGCTGAAACAACTCTCACTTGTATCCGGATACTTGATGGCATCAAAAACATTAAAGGTTACCTCCTCCTCTTGTACTCTCAACCATAATTCTCCCCTTTGGACATCAATTAGAGCTCAGCCAGCAGCTAAGAATAGTATGCCAAGAATGATAGGAATTTCCCTATCCTCCTCCAGGTCTAGAATGAGGAAGTCGGCTGGAAGAATAAACTTGTCCACCTTAACAAGCGCATCCTCAATAATTTTCCTTGGGTGTTTTATTGAGCGATCCGCTAATTGCAATGATACTGTAGTAGGTCTCGCCTCACCTAGTCCAAGTTTCCTAAAAATAGACAAAGGCATAAGATTAATACTTGCACCTAAGTTACATAAAGCTCTTTCAAACATAGAATTTCCAATTGAACAAGGGATAGTAAAACTCCCTGGATCCTTGAGCTTTGGAGGCAATTTCTTTTGTAGAATTGCACTGCACTCTTCAGTAAGGGCTACTGTCTCATATTCTTCCAATCCCCTCTTATTTGACAAGATGTCCTTCATAAATTTCACATAACTTGGCATTTGATTGAGAGCTTCTGCAAAAGGAATGTTAACATGCAATTTTTCAAACACATCTAAAAATTTAGAAAATTGCTTATCAAGCTTATTCTTTTTGAGTCGTTGAGGTAATGGAACTTTTGGTGATAGATCCTGTGGTGGGATTGGTTGATTGTCAGAAATCTCCTCGCTAAGCGTTGGTGTGTGGAGTTGCATCTCTTGATCTTCTTTTTCAACTTTTCACTAGTAATTGGAGCTTCTAACTCTTTTCCATTTCTCAAAGTGATTGCCTTGAACTGTTCCTTTGGATTCACTTCAATCGTGCTAGGCAAGTTTCCTTGTTGTCTCCGAGTTAACATATTAGCCAATTAACCGACATGGACTTCTAAATTCCATATCGAAGATTCTGAAAATTGGTCTTAGTATCTGTTATAAATCTGTTGGTGTTAGTTGCTAATTGTGCCATTGCTTCTTCAAGTGCTGACTTCTCTTTCGGCGGATCACTAGATGACGAACCATGTGGAGGTTTCAATGCATTCTGATTATTCCATGAAAAATTGGGGTGATTTTTCCATCCAGGGTTGTATGTTGCACTATATGGATTGTTTTGCCGATTTTAATTTGCAACAAAGTGTGCTTGCTCCGCTTGGGATTGAAAGAAAGGATTTCCCACTTGACATTCTTCACTCGGATGGTTTCCATGACAAAAATCACAAGCCGGTGGTGTCAATTGAATGGCATTTGCTGTCAGTTGGTTGGTTTTCAATTGTTGAGTAAGATTATGGACTTGAGCTATCAAGGTAGTGATAGCTTCAACCTCATGCACTCCTACTTCTTTCTTCGGTAAAATTCTCTCATTTGGCCATTGATAGTTGTTCATCGCCATCTCCTCCAACAGATCATATGCATCGTCTAGGGATTTGCCCATAAATGCTCTTCCTGAAGAAGCATCTATTAGAGTTCTTATAGAGGCAGCAAGTCCATTATAGAAGTTCTGAACTTGCATCCACTTCGACAATCCATCGTGAGGGCATCGCCTGAGTAGGTCTTTATATCGCTCCCAAGCCTCGTAAAGTGTTTCACCCTCCAATTGAGAAAAATTTGAAATTTCATTGCACATCTTTGCTGGTGGAAAAAATTTAGCGAGAAACTTCTGATCTAAATCTTCACAACTAGTGATTGAATCTGCAGGTAATGAATTTAGCCAACTTTTTGCTCTATCTCGAAGACAGAAAGGAGATAGCCGGAGGCGAATGGCATCATCAGTAAGACCATTTTGCTTGAAGGTGTCACAAACTTCCAGAAAACTTGCTATATGGGCATTGGGATCATCACTCGGAAATCCATGGAATTGAATTGATGTTTGGATCATTTGTAGGATAGCTGGCTTAATCTCAAAGTTGTTGGCTGCAATACTAGGTTTCCTAATGACTGAATTGATTCCTGTGACCTGTGGTAGAGCAAAATCCCTTAGAGCTCGTGTGTCATGTCTTGGATTCTCGTTGTCTGCCATAGTGTTTGAATTTTTTCGAGCTTCTCGCTACTTTTTCCTCAGTCTTTTTGCTGTTTTTTCAATTTCTGGATCATAAGGCAGCAATTCCAAGCTCTTTTTGCTTCTCATGTACTAAGCAAAACCTGGAAATAAAAAAAAATAAATCAAATTAGATCAAATTTAACTAGTATTGATATTATCAATAATTTTATCTAATTCCCCGACAACGGCACCAAAAACTTGTTGGTTGAAATCACAAGTGCACGAGTCACAACAAGTAATAAAGTGAATGAGTAAGAGTATCGTCTCATGAGGAATGAAAAATTACGAATAATTATCAAAATTTGTTGAATGATGATCTATTTGACAATTCGAATGTAAATGAATTATTAAACCAGAAAGCTTAAACTAAGATGAATTGAACAAGCAAGTTAAAATCAAGAAAACAATACTCTAAAGTTTTCGATTCACCATAACTACTCATGTGAATATCCTAATTGAATTAATTGTAAGTATTCCTAATTGTTGATAATCAAGTCTTTCTAATTTATTCATTAATCTTTCTAAAGCATTAACGAAATATCTCAACAAGAAAATTTTCTATATCTTTGTGAAAATTCTAAGCCTGTCAAGATTCATTAAGAACAAAAATAAACCCATAAAGATTACACAAGTCCATAGATATCTCTATCCTACAGAATTCATGTGGCATCTCAAACATTGGCTGAAACAATTATTATTTCTCTGTCTCAAATTGAATCCCAACTCAAATGAATGGTGATTAGTCAATTCACAAGCATTAAGTCCAAAATGAAATACTCAACAATTCGAACAAATACCAATTAATTCAAGTAAAGGAAGATTCACATAATCGTAGTTAGGCTACATCTCAAATTCTAGAAGATAGAAATTAATTCATGCTAAAATTGAAGAAAAGTTTAAATAAAGAGTTAACATCAAGAAATTGAAAGAGATGGTAAGAAGGAAAAACTCGGTGAATCTGGTCTCCCGTTTTCTTGGAGTGGCTTCCCTCTTTTGATAGCCAAAAGGGAAGAAAAAGAATCGATCCACCTAGGTCCTAGCCTTCTTGGTCGTCCCCTGCTTTTTTTTTTCCTCTTCCACTCCTTTCAAGCCATCTTCACCAGGAAAAGAAAGAATCAATCCCGAATTCGCCTCTTCAATTCACAGATTTTTATCCTTGGATTGTGGGCCATTTTTCACTTAGAAAACGTGAGAATTTCAAAATCTCTATTTCATGAGAAATTGTAGCACGTTAAATTATCTTTCCAAGGCCTCTTGAATCAGCTCAATATGACATCGGATGAGGGAGATATGGTGAAAATACGAAGGGCAGTACAGATGTGTTTCCAATTCGGGATTTCTTCACAGCAAGAGACGTCTTCCATAGATTTTGCTCCCTTCATTAATCTTTCCAATCTATTTTATTTTGATTGGGCTGGGTTAAGTCCACTTGAATTGAGTCCTCTCTTATGGGCCTTGAACTTTGTTATTTTTGGACTCCATTTCTACAATAAAATTGTAAACACCACAATTAGGATTGACCTTCATTCAACTATATAAAAATATCATTATTAATCCCAAATATACTTGTATATTAGCAAATAATCATGAGTAATCAGCATTAAAAATACAATCTTATTCACTCTATTAGGGATTGTGATAGTTGTTCAAAAAACCATGCGATCGCATGGCAACCAACCGAGGGCAAATGGCCTCAGTTCATGGATTTTCACCATGCGGTCGCATGGTATAAGTTTAGTGACCGTTGGAGTTGGTTTGGGTGGTTTTTTGGCAGCCTTTCATTTAATTTTGGCACCACTTCGTGAAGCTATGTTGCATAACTATAAATAGTTAGTTTTTGATCATCAAAAGAGAATGAAAAAAACACTTATAATTCATGTTTATAAGATCAAACAAGAGAGAAGAAAGAAAAACAAAACCATCTTCTTCCTTTTCCACTGTGTTCTTGAGTTCATAGAGAATCAAACAAGTGCTTAGTGTTTGAATCTCTAAAAAGCTTGATCAATCTTTCAAACCCTTTGCCGGATGACCCTTTTGTTGGATAATTTAGTGCTTTAAATTACTGGATCTTTCATGTTAAATCATCAAGAAATACAAGAATTAAAGCGGAAGCATACCTGAATCAGACATGGTTAATGCAATATGAATTTCACGTTATGGTCTTCCAAATCTACACGTAGTCTCCTTTTCCTCTCTGTGATGGGATGCAGTAGAGAATGAATAATACGTTGTGTGTGATCTGGGAACCATAACCTATTTATATAGGGATGCCCTTTGACCTAATTCGGCCCATCATAGAATTAGGACTTGGACCCAGTCTCCACACATATGTAAACCCATACTTTAACTGGATACATTAAAGCTCAAAATTGAAGCCTTATTAGATCACTTTAATTGGGCTCAACTGAACTCGATAGCCTATAATTTAACGCACAATTATTCACACATACAAACCCATCTTTAATTAAAAATCCTTACAATCTCCCACTTGGGCTATATGTGTTACCTTATAATTGTGCATTAAACATAACCTTATGAGTGCTCAGAATTTTGCTATCATTACCGAATGTATCCCCAAACAATCCCGTCCATCAATCATATCAACATAGGATCAAAGCGGCCAAAGCGGCTTTCGCTACTTTCACGTAGCTAAACCCATCAATGGTCACATATATCAATATAACTGAATGACATGAATCAAGCATGGATGTGTAGCATGGAAATTACATGTAATGTGATTTGTAACATGCCTATTTCCAACTGGTCCACCTTAATACCTTAGTAAGATCATTTTAAACAAGTTCAGAGATAATTAACCAAATAACTTCATAATTGAAAATAACTTTAACTTTAAACCGTATCCAAAATAACAGTACATGTGTCCAATATGAAAAGTCAAAAAATACAAACTCCCACTGAAACTAGATATCCTCAAGAGACATTACACCCATATGAGCAGTGTGCTCATGAAAGACCTTGGGTATCAATCCCTTAGTAAGCGGATCCGCAACTATGGAGTTTGTCCCAATATGCTCTATTGACACCTGTCCACTCTGAACTCTTTCTTTAACAGCAAGGAACTTGATCTCTATGTGTTTTGACTTCGTCGAGCTCCTGTTGTTATTAGACTACAACACTGCCGATTTATTGTCACAAAATATCTTAAGTGGTCTTTCTATATTGTCCACAATACGCAACCCAGTGACAAAAATTATGCAGCCATATTCCATGATTTGATGCCTCATAACACGCTATAAACTCCGCTGCCATGGTGGAAGTAGCTATGAGTGTCTGCTTGGCACTCTTCCAGGAAATAGCACCTCCAGCAAGTAGGTAAATATAGCCTGAAGTGGATCTCCTACAATCTTGGCATCCCGAGAAATCGGAATCAGAATAACCGATGATCTCCAACTGATCCGATCTTCTGTATGTGAGCATGTAGTCTTTTGTTCTCTGTAAATGCCGCATGACCCGTTTGGCTACTTTCCAATGATCTATTCCCGGGTTACTTAAATATCTCCCTAGCATCCCAACAATGTACGCTATATCCGGACGCGTACAAACCTGAGCATACATCAGACTCCCTATAGCTGAGGAATAAGGAATCTTCTACATTTCTTTAATTTCCAAGTCATTTTTAGGGCACAGACTTAAGCTGAACTTGTCTCCTTTAGCCACAGGGGTGTCACATGGTTTACAATCTTGCATGCTATATCTTCTAAGTACCTTTTCGATATAGCTCTTTTGTGATAATCCAAGAATACCTCGAGAACGATTTCGGTGTATCTGAATTCCTAATACAAAAGAGGCATCACCAAGATCTTTCATCTCAAAATTCTTTGCTAGAAATCTCTTGGTTTCGTGCAATAAGCCTATATCGTTGCTGGCAAGCAATATGTCATCGACATATAAAACTAGAAAAATATACTTGCTCCCACTGAACTTGTGGTATATACAATCATCGACCAAATTCATCTCAAAACCTAATGAGATGATCACCTGATGAAACTTGTAATACCATTGACGAGATGCCTGTTTGAGTCCATAGATGGATTTCTTTAATTTACAAACCATTTGCTTTGAATCGTCCGATACAAAGTTTTCTGGTTGTACCATATAAATTGTTTCATCTATGTCGCCATTGAGAAACACTGTCTTAACATCCATCTGATGTAGCTCAAGATTGAAATGCGCTACCAATGCCATTATAGTCCTGAAAGAGTCTTTTGAAGAAACCGGAGAGAAAGTCTCTTTATAATCGATGCCTTCTTTCTGTGTAAAGCCCTTTGCGACAAGACGAGCCTTATACCTTTCTACATCACCTTTTGAATCACTCTTGGTCTTAAATATCCATTTGCAACCAATGGGTTTCGCACCTTCAGGCAATGGAACGAGGTCCCATACGTCATTATCCTTCATGGATTTTATCTCTTCATTCATAGCATCAAGCCACTTTTGAGAGTTAGAACTTTCCATGACTTGACAGAAGTTGATCGGATCATCTTCCACCATTCCAATGTCAACTTTATGTTCTTGAAGAAATACGATGTAATCATTCGAAACCGCACTTCTTCTCTCACTAGTGGATCTTCTTAATGGCATTGGTTCTTGAGGCTGTAGAGTTTGTTCTTCTAGAACAATTTGTTGATCTTGAGAGGGAGGTATGACATTGTCTTGGTCCAGAGTTGCTTCTTGAACAATATCAGGGATAGAAACCTGATCATTATCAATGGCAATTAGAGGAATTTCAACATATTCCTCCTCAAAGACAAAGCCTGTAACCCTTTCTTCTCTCCACAAACTCAACATCCTCAAAGAACCTAGCATTTCCTATCTCGAAAATTGCCTCAGTTGTGGGATCATAAAACTTGTAACCCCTGGACCTTTTAGAATATCCAATGAAATAGCAAGTGATGGTCCTTGCATCCAGTTTCTTTTCATTTGGCTTATAGAGCCTTGCCTCAGCTGGACACCCCTAAATATGTATATGCTTCAAACTAGGCTTCTTGCCTATCCAAAGCTCATATGGGATTTTATCAATGGCCTTAGTTGGAACTTTGTTGAGTATATAAGCTGCAGTCTTTAATACTTCACCCCAGAGAGATTCTGGTAAGGTAGAATGATTAATCATACTCCTCACCATGTCCTTAAGTGTTCTGTTTCATCTTTTAGCAACACCATTCATAGTGGGCGAACCGGGAATAGTGTACTGTGGGATGATACCGCATTCCTCTAGGAATTTAGCAAATGGTCCTGAACGCTGTTCACCTGAACTGTCATATCTGCCATAGTATTCACCCCCACGGTCAGATCTGACGCTTTTAATCCTTTTGCCGAGTTGGTTCTCAATTTCAGTTTTATAGTTTTTGAACACATCCAGTGACTGTGATTTTTCATGAATGAGATATATGTAGCCATATCTTAAAAATTCGTCTATGAACGTTATAAAATATTGTTGACCATTCCAAGAACCCGTAGGGAATGATCCACAAATATCTGTATGTATAAATTCTAAGACGTCCGAAGTCCTATTGGCTTGAAATCTCCTTTTATTGGTTTGTTTTCCCTTTAGACAGTTGACACACAAATCATAATTTGTGAAGTCAAGAGGGTCGAGAATCCCGTCAGACACAAGTCTCTCAATTCTCCTTTTGAAAATGTGACCTAATCTCTTGTGCCACAACGAGGCAGAATTCTCGTCGTTTAATTTTCGCTTTACACCTGAAGTACTTACATGCAAGGTTTCATTATAAGAAGCAATTGTATCAATTGAATAAAGATTATCGTAACCTGATAAAGAACCGGAACCAACCAATTTTGAATCATGAAACAAACTAAATTTTCCATTTCCAAAAGAACAAGTATAACCAAATTTGTCCAAAACAGAAATAGAAATCAAATTCCGTCTAAAAGACGGTACAATAAATGTCTCAACAAGATCCAAATAAAATTCAATCTTTAACAATAATCTAAATTTTCCTATTGCCTCTACTTTCATTCTATTGTCGTCGCCTGCATAGATGTATCTTTCATCATCACTTGGTTTTCGGCAACTCAGGCAACCCTGCATAGACATACTGATGTGAGTTGTTGCACCAGAATCTATCCACCATGTATGTCTAGGTACCAAAGTTAAATTAGCCTTAGAACAAACCAAATGAAGAAGAGTACCTTTCTTTACACGCCATGCGTGGTAATTGGTGCAATTCTTCTTCTTATGACCTGCAGCTCCACAGAAGAAACAACCACTTTCAGTTGGTTCCTTATGCTGTTTCTTTTGCGGTGCCATACTTGCAGCTTCTTTATTAATCTTCCTTTTCTTGTTGCTTTTGTCCTTAGAGGTGGTGGCTAAATGAGCACTTTCTGTCTTCTCATGCTTCAGTATTTCCTCTTCCTGAACACAGTGTAAGATGAGCTCATTAAGGGACCACGAGTCCTTTTGACAGTTGTAGCTCACCTTGAATTGACTGAAATGTGCCAGAAGGGATATCAGAACCAAGTGCACCAACAAGTCTTCAGATTAATCCAACTTGAGTGCCTTTAGTTTTGAAGTAATGTGAGACATTTCCAT